CAGAGGAAATGGAGATGTTCACAGGGAACAAGGGCCAAGAAGGCCCCTTTGCCCCTGGAAAGATGCACCTGAAAGACCCTTGTGGGAGTGGAAAGTAATTGCAAAGACAACAGCCCCACTTCTGCGTGGGGTTCCTGGCAGCAGAAATGTCCCCGGGCCCTCTGAGTGCTGACCTTGGATTCTTATGCCTTTGTGTCCCCTTACAGGCAAGAAGGAAAAGGAATTTTCAAATGAGAATTTATGAAATTTCACCTCCTATCTAGATCTGTGGCAAAGTTTACCAGGTTTCATGCAAGGAAATAGCACATTGGCAGACCTTATCTTATAGTCAGTAGGCAAAAGTATTCATAAAGGTATATAATGAAATTATTATGGTGTGGAGACGGAAAGGTTTATAGCTGGAAAACATTTGCAAGCAAGAGCTAAAGGAGGACTTGAGCTTGAAACATGAAGTTGATTTGGCATTCCCTGTGCCCTCAGGTCTCCATAGAATTGTTCTGTATTTGCAATCATAGTTTCAGCCCACAAGAATAAAAAAGAAAAAAGGAAAGCTAAGGTGGAAACTATGCAAGTGGAAAGGACATTATCTTTGTACAGACGTGGCCATGAAAACAGAAAAACATAACATTTCCTCTTCCTTTCAGTTGTTGCTACTTCAGAGATGCTTCTTTCAACTGCAGAGGTACAACACTATTAAAGAGATTTGAAATTTGGTAATTGCCACTATCTCTTGAAGATCGTTTCCTCTAGTTTCACAGTTAAGAAATAAATTAAAGACTCTTATTTGCCATGAGCTAACATTAGTCACGAGCTGACATTTGTCATAAACGGTCTGGAGCACCATAAAAAGTGGTTCCAGCTACACACTGAGCTACAGGAATCTTTGTGATCAGCCAGGGAAGAAGAGCAGTCCTGGCAGGTTATTGAAACCAGTATCTGGTGAGTTTTTTTACCCCTTCCCTTCCTTGATGAGGTGCAGAGTATCATACCATGACCTGCTCTGGGAAGAAAAGTCCCATTGTTGTTTCCCTAACGGCTATGCTCATCATCAAAACATTGTCAGAAGCCGGCCACATCCTCAAAACAAACTCCTAATTTGTGAAAGAGAAAACGAAACACGAGCGGAATTTACCCTTTTGAAAAGAAAATAGGAGTTTACACAAAGTAGGAGGTAACTGGGGCTTGGCTAATAATACATGGCCCTTATGCAGGTTCCTATAAAATAATGTATTTTGCTTCTGGTGCAATGTACATTTGCAGCGTAAACACACCACTGAACAAAATGTGCTGGGCAACTTTGCCAATGGGGAATCTGGTTTTCATGCTTAGAGAGAAGAGAGAAACAAAGAAAGAAAGAAAGAAACAAACGAACACCTCTTTCTCTTTCCTAGCTGCTGTAATATTTTTTTCCTGGGAAAAAATACTTAGGGAACCAAGAGAAAATGAGCTATGCAAATGCTATGGGCAAATGCTGGCCACTTCCACTTCCTCTTTGAACTCCTGTTGCTATTTTGCCTAACTGCTGCTTTTATTTCCTCATGACAGCTTCTGATGGCGCACGTGCTTACCTTAACTAGAAGGTAAATATCAGAAATGAAACTGCCTATCTCAAGGTTCACTTCTATACCAAAAGTGTTTCAGATTTATTCTGAGATGAGACACAGTGAGATCTGACCCCACAAGAGATGAGGTCCCATGACAAGGATGCATTTGGTCCCATGACAGAGGAGAAGTTAAGGGACTGTGCTACTGCTGGGAAGTCTGCAAACTACCCAGGCTGTCTGAACAGGGGCCCCACGACATAGCACAGTCCTTTCCCCAGAGCCGGGCACTCCATTACTCCATCCACCAGATATTGTTGTCAGAGTGTCCAGTTAAGTGTATTTCTTAATGTGGTGAGTATGGGGTTTACCTCTTGAGGGATCTGCCCCTGCCTTCACTGGCTGTAAGTTGTAGGTTATGTTCTTACAACCATTCTTACACCAGTGGTTTCCTGCATCAGAGAAAGAAAGGGAAGATGCTGTTGGTCTGATGGACCAGCTCTACTGGTACACTGTTCTCTCTCCTACCCATCTGGCTTACTGCATTGCATCCTTTGACTTGCCATTAGTTGCCATTAGTAAGGACTTGAGGTGGTGCCACACAGCTCTCTAAGGATGTCAGAGAACATGTCACTGAGGATGATGGCAAGCTAGCTGGGTTGTTTGTTTTATTTCTTTAAAGGCAGAGATAACAAATTCCTCTGTGGACAGAACAAGAATAGACAAAACAGAACAGGTGGAAAAATTTCAAATGCAAGAAAGTTCTAGGCCTGTACAAAAAGACCATCCTTTGAGCAATACACACAAGATACTGAAGACAGGTTGCCTGCAGATATAAAGACCTGGATTGAATCCTAAATCAGTCAGCTAGGGGAGCAAAAGGGTAACTGACCTAACCAAGGAGCAGCTGGTTAAAAGATTGCCTAAACATGCAGGTAGGCATCCATCAGACGTTCCCAGGAATTAGGGACTGAATTCATTAACCCACTTCCTGGTCCTTCAGGATCAGGGTCTTGAGCCAAATGGCACATGCAGTAGTACAGGCACTGAGCTGCAAATGCTGAATATTTAAAATGTGTTTGCCCTAATCCCAGCAGCAGCAAGGAAGGTATCGAATCTGAGAGGCCAGAGAAATCTCAGGCTGCAAAGGAACCTGCAGAGCATCTGAGGAGGCACTGCAGGCTCTGTTAGTGGGGAGTGCTTTGTGCAGAGTCATGATATCTGCCTGCAAGGTTGCCATTTGCTTGTTATACACCTTGTTAAATCAAGTGTGTAATGCAGGAGAGCATAACTTGGTCCACTGTGAGCAAGAATTTCACTTTTTAGTTTGAGACCTTTCTGAAAATGGACTACTTCTAGTTGTTTATTTTCCTCTGAGTTCCTTCCCAGGCTCATTTGCAGTTTCTGATAGGCAAGCAGTGACAGTCACAGCTCTGCCATAAGAATATTTCTCTTACTTCTTAACAGGTGGTCACAGGCATGTTAACATCTAAACGTCATCTTATATGTGTTTTTACATTGTAATAGATCTAAATAAAAGAGCAGTGATTTTTATTTTGCAGCACTCAGTTTTAATGAGGGACGCGTCACAATTACAGATATACAGCACACGCTGTCGTAGCACGTTTTTAAGAACGAAAGCAAATGAAACAGGACTTCCTCCTCTCCCC